CTCTGACATTCTTTTTTACAAATCCTCATTTTGTACTTCTAATTAGAGACCGATGTTTTGTTTTGATCTCTCCGCTGCGCTTTCTGCGTTCGTCACTTCTGAGCGGCGCATGCGCAAAGCCGACCTCATACGTCATTCCCCTGGAACTGCTTCTGTGTACATCAGCTAGATGTACAAGCTAGATTAAAGTGATTATTACATTTTAAATATGGTTATTTTTCTTACAAAAATGCATCGATTCGTTACAGGAGACCTTTGATCACCCCCCGGAGCCGTGTGAGGCACTTCTTTTTTGATGGATGGGCGCTTTTTATTTCACTTCTTTTGGACTGATGCATGCAACACCCGCTGAGTGCCATGAAACAGCTTGAAAGATCAAAGACAATTTTTTATATAACTCCGACTGGATTCGTCTGAATGAAGAAAGTCTAAATAAACATCTAGGATGTCTCGGGGGTGAGTAAAACACAGCCTAATTTTCATTTTTGGGTGAATTAACCATTTAAACACAATTTTCCCATAATTCTTATCACCATAATGTATCTGAATGATTTACTTTATTGTTTTATTATTGATATTTTTTCTAATACTCATTCTTAGCGATGCGTCATAATTTACATTAGAATAAATTACTAACATTTTACATGAATTAAAAAGGTTTACAATTTAATTCATACTGCAGTAATGAGGATCCATGTATTTTGTGTAACAAAAAAATGAGGATTTTGGGGCTTTTAATTTCTAAATGATCATGAAAATGTCACAAAACACTAAATCCTAATGGTCTTATATACAAGCTTCATATTCTTTAAGCAAAATGTAATTTCTCATATCTATCTTACAATTTAGAGACAAAATAGGACCAGTTTTCATGGAATTCACTCAGTCCTATTGACTAAAAAGATTTGAAAACAGCACATTGATAACCTCTGTACTGGTGTGCTATTCAACAGATCGAGATGCCTGAGAGTAACAAATGCCTTGTGTTCAGAAAACTGTAGGAAATCTGTCCATTCTGAGAACAAGGATCCAGTTTCCAAGATAAAACATCTACGACGCTTCACTTTCTTTTAGTCAGTTTCACAAATTTTCACTAGTTTCTCATTCTGCCTGCACTTCAAACACACAAATGAACAGACTGCCATTGTTTTATTATGCACATACTTTCAGAGACAAGAAAAGAAACATTTCCACTAATGTATGACCAATAAAAGAACAAGATATTTATTAAATATGATGTTAAAATGACTTCTTTTTAACATGAGGTGGATCAGTATAGAATAAAGATGATATTGAAGGGTTACAGACGTCACCGGTTGTGTGTGTTACAAACATGCAACGTTCACGTCATCCATCAAAACCATCCACAGGCTGTCAACAGTTTTTACAACTCTCAATTCTGCACTAATTAATTGGTAATGAAACTGTGGCTTTGAAATCGATTGATTAGTTCTGCGCAGTCAGGTCTGAACCCCTGGCTATGCCACTCTGTGAAGATCCACATGGAGCAAAGACAAACGGATGTGATGTCTGGCAAACTTACATGCAGTATCTGGAAACACCAGCCTATTTATTTTGATTAGATTGGTGATATGCAAATGGCAGTAAAGTTGACATCTCATTGGCTGTTATTTTATATGACAGAAGCCAAACACCATCTACCGCATAAATCATTAGCGAGGATTCCACAACACTGATCCTAAACGCAGAGCTTCTGAAGTATTTCTAGAATCGCATACATGGAAACCAGCACTGGAATGTCACATTAGAGCACTTCAGAGCAAATCAGAGCTGAAAAACTGCTATGATGCCTCCGCGACCTCTGCTAAAGCCAGCAAGTCTCTTAACTGAAGAAAAATAAATGGCTGTTACATATTTACTCATGCAAACACATCTTAGAAAAATATGAGACAAAAGGATAGCTATGTCTTGTCTTTTCTAACCATATTGTGCTTGTTTCTCTATGGTACGAATGACTAACCTTGCATCAGCTTAGTTTTATAAGGAAAAACTACATTTGCAAAAATCTAGAGAGATGAAAGTTAGCAGTAGCATGAATCTCACAACATGTCCAGGTCATATTTTAAAAAGAATCTAATTTCTGCTTCCTGAGCTTTGGTGAAACTTTTTTTTATAAAAAGCCAAAATTATGAGATATTAAGTCATAATTATGACAAAGTAGATTTGTTTGTCATAATTTTGACTTTTATCTCAATTATGTGAAAGTTAGCAGTAGCATGAATCTCACAATATGTCCAGGTCATATTTTAAAAAGAATCTAATTTCTGCTTCCTAAGCTTTGGTGAAACTTTTTTTTTATAAAAAGCCAAAATTATGAGATATTAAGTCATAATTATGACAAAGTAGATTTGTTTGTCATAATTTTGACTTTTATCTCAATTATGACTTAGTATCTCATAATTTTGACTCTCATAACTATGACTCACAGTGTAATTTCAATGTTAAAATAAAAACAAAATCCTAAATTATGAGATACTAAGTCATAATTGAAATTCGCAAAATACAATTATGACAACGTAGAAATCTCTTAATCTCATAATTTTGACTTTGTATGAGGTACTACGTCATAATTTTGAGATAAATTATGACAGTAGATGTGTTTGACTATCTCAGTTATGACAATATCTCAATTTTGACTCATAACTGACTTAATGTAATTTCAATTTTAAAATAATAAAATATATAAACTATGAGATCCGTCATAATTGAGATTGATAGCAGAGATTGAATTAAAAATTGGAGATTAAAGTAGACATTTATCATAATTCTGACTTAGTATCTCATACAGTCAAAATTATGAGGAGATAAATTATGACAGATGTGTTTGACTATCTCAATTATGACAATATCTCAATTTTGACTCATAACTGACTTAATGTAATTTCAATTTTAAAATAATAAAATATATAAACTATGAGATCCGTCATAATTGAGATTGATAGCAGAGATTGAATTAGAAATTGGAGATTAAAGTAGACATTTATCATAATTCTGACTTAGTATCTCATACAGTCAAAATTATGAGATACTAAGTCAATTATGACAAATCAAAACTTATTCTCAAAATTTTGACTTTTTATCTTGTAATTATGACTTACAATGTCAATTTTGATTTGAGATACTAAGCGATAATTATGATACAGGAATAAATTGAAATTATGACATCAATTACAAGACAATAGAAATACTGTGTCAATTATGACTTATGATTTACCAAAGTATGACTATCTTATGTTGCAGAAATGGGCTTTATACATTTCCATAAACACAAGAAAAGGCATTTTATTCTAGGACCATTGCATCGTCAAAGCATATTTTCACCAAAACTCTCATAAGTTCAATGTGTCAAGATTACTTGATGTTGTTGTTTTTGGTAATTCTCATAATTGTCAATGGGGAATCTCATTACTAATACACAGTCATTTTTAAATCATGATATCAGGATAAAGGCAGTACAACAAATATTACCATGTAACTACTTTACAGTTTAAATGACAATTTTTTTGCATTACAATAATGAGAACGGAGCAAGGAAACACATTTAACCGTCATAATTTATGGTCACAAAAAAATTTAATGGTCTAAAACAGGTTTCATTTTCTTTAAGCAAAAAAAAAAGAAAAAAAGTTGGCTCTTTTTTTGTTTCACGGATAAAATATGATCTAGAGAGTTTTGTGAGATTCATCAACCAACTGCAAAGGTTCCCCACCAGCTCCATCTGTAGCCTCTCCTCCATTTAAAGAGACAGGGAGAGGAGGGGGACTCAGACAGCCATATGCTTTTACAATATTTGTACACCTTCAATATTTGTGGAACATAGTGAAGTGAGAGCAGGTGCAGAAACAGCAGGGTAAGGGAGGGTTGAATGTAGTGTGCTGGCCTGGTGTGTAATGACATATGATGAGCTATGATCAGTCAAATGAAATGAGCTGAGCCTCTGCACTGCCAGGTGGACCCTGCGCCAGCTGCTGTTGTGATTGCTGCTGTGGACCGCCGGGGGGAGCCATCTGTTTAAAAACATGAAGAGACAATATGATTCAGATTAATAGAGTGCAACAGTGCCAGTACACTTTTTCCATAGGGATAAAAAAAAATGAAGACATATACACTACCATTCAAGAGTTTGGGATTAGAACATTTTTCATGTTTTTTTAAAGAAGTCTCTTATGCTCATCAAGGCTGCATTTATTTGATCCAAAATACAGTAAAAACTGTAATATTGTGAAATATACAATTTAAAATAAGGGAGTTTTCTATTTTTAATATACTTATTTAATCTACTATACATAACATACTTCATATAATTTATTCCTGTTATGGCAAAGCTGAATTTTCATCGGCCATTAAAAGTCTTCAGTGTCACACGATCTTTCAGAAATTATTCTCGTATGCTGATTTTATTTTCAATGTTGGAAACAGTTGTGCTGCTTAATGTTTTAAAGTTATCATCTTGGAAATAATTAGTTGTTTCATGTTTATATCAAACTTTGTACAACTTTTCAATCAACCAAAAAAAAAAAAAACGTAGTTTCTTTATATTAAATATATAATTCACTGTATAGTGCACATTTCTGTAAATTTGACCATTCAGTATAAAGGTGTGTACTCCGCAAAAAATACAAATACTGTTGAAATAGTAAGAGAACAGTAAGCTATTCCGCACAATAAAATATTTCTACATAAAAATACTTACCTGCTGGTACATAGGCTGCTGCCCAGGCATGTAGGGCTGTTGGGGAGGCATGTTGGGGTCTTGTCCTGGAAGGGCGGTCATCATATTCTACAAAAGAAGTTAACAGCAATCAGTGACAGTCTTCAAACTTTCCATCCCATGTGGTTTTTATAAGTAGGAAAGAACATCAGATCCGAGACATACAGGTTGCAATGCGGGACACAACCTGTGATCTGATGCAGTAAAACGTACCTGCATGTTGTATGGCTGGTAGCCCATGTAGGCAATACCGTTGGTGGGGGCAGCCTGGGACATAGGGGGCAAACTCTGAGCTTGAGAGACCACGTTCTACAGAAAGAACATGTTAACATTCACGCCGAACCTCAAAATGAACTGTACACCTCATTAAGTAGACTTGCTCTTCCTGAAGGAAATAACTATGGAAGCCCATTTCTGCCACTGAATAAAAAATAAAAAGGTCATTGCAACTTTTTAACTCGCAGTTCTGACTTTTTTTTCCTCAAAATTGCAAGTTTACATCTCGCAATTCTGACTTTTTATTCTCAGAATTCCATGATATAAACTTGCTATTGTGATTTATCAAGTCATAATTGTGAGATATAAACTCGCAATTGTAAGAAAACAGTCTTTTTACCCTCAGAATTGTACTTTATAACTCACAATTAAGAGTTTATATCACACAATTCTGAGAAAAAAAAGTGAAACTTGCAAGATTATGACATAACAAAATTATGAGGAAAAAAAGGCAATTGTGAGATTTAAAAAGTCACAATTACCTTTTTTTTTTAATTCAGTGTAGGAAACGGGACTCCATAAATAACAGTACTTGTAAAGAAGTAAAATAATATGAACATTTTGGGTAAATGTAAAGATGTAAACTGATCTTGAAACATTGATCTTGAATCTCCTGACCTGGTAGCCCTGTGTGGATGTGGGCTGGTAGTTAGTGTAGGCAGGGGTGGTTGTGGGAGGGGCTTGTCCTGGGGCGGATGGCTGCCCACTGGTGCCTGCAGTCTGATACATGTAAGCATTCACCATGTTTGGATCTAAAAGAGAGTGAGCAGAGAATGTTAAATAAAAAAGTGCCACATTTGAAGCTGATCTGGTTTATTCACTAAAACGATTTTAAAAAAGAGAGCGAGAGAAAGATAGAGGATGTTTGGTTGACCTGTAGCTGACACAGGCATGGCCTGGTACGGGCCACCGGCAGCAGTCTGTCCGTGCGGGTTCATGTAGACTCCATGCATGGGCGACCCCTCCACTGAACCAGAAGGACTGAAGGTGCCAGGATAGCTGGGAGGGCCAGTGGGGGGATACACCACCCCTCCTGCCACATTAGGAGGCAGTGACTGCATCTACAAACAGCACATTACAAATAGGGCTGCAACGATGAATTGATAAAACTGATGAAATTAAAATAATCAACAAAGAATTCGATTATCAATTAATCATGTTTGCACACGTAAAACGTTAGAGTCATGTGATTACATCCATTTCCATAAAGGATCATCCTGAAATCAAACAGGTCTCCGTTAAACTTCACAGACTGAAGCCGCAATAGAATGAGAGTGCAACAATTCTGACTAAAATAAAAATTTTGCTAACATATGTGTTTGATGTTAAATTCTATGTATGTATATACAGTGGGTACGGAAAGTATTCAGACCCCCTTCAATTTTTCACTCTTTGTTATATTGCAGCCATTTGCTAAAATCATTTAAGTTAATTTTTTTTCCTCATTAATGTACACACAGCACCCCATATTGACAGAAAAACACAGAATTGTTGAAATTTTTG